GAGGTAAGACCGGGTGCGGAGCCGAGGTGGCCGTGCGCAAACGGTGAGCGCGCGGGAGGACCTGTGGGCAACAAGTAATTCGCGGGATGCTCTGGGTGAGGCGGCCAGGGCGACTTTTCTGGGGGGCTGAGTTGGGTGAAAAATCAGCGGTTGGGAGGATGACTCGGGAAATCGCTTGCCGTGGAGGGAGGGCGTCGAGAAGCGTTAGTGGAGAAGGAATCCGAATGGGGTGAGGTTGGCTTGAGCGCCGGAAGGAGACCCGCACGGAGCCTCCCGCTGGCGACGGGGAGAGGTGGGGAGGGGGCACATGCACACCTGCAGGTGTTGGACGTGGGCAGTGTGTGGGGTCGAGTTCAGATCGGGATGAAACAGTCTTACAGGGGAACCTTGGGCAAAGCACCTGGAAGAAGCTGGGATGTGCAGGAGTGAATAATTTAGAAGGGATTTGAATGATCTTAGTGCGTTGGCCTCTCCCAGGGTCAGCCAGCGTCCCCCCCCCTTTTTTTATTTTCCCCTTACCTTGCTGTTGGTTTGGCCGTACAGTTTTGGTTTGTGAATGACGAACTGCGTGTTTTTGGAGACTTGTAACTCCTTGTACAAACCCAGAAGAGAGCCTTGGGGGAATCCGAACGATTCCTATCCCCCATCGATTTATTGAGTGACTTTTGAGGCAAATCATCACCATCAGTCTGTCTGCCTCTCTCTAAGTCCCACTCCCTTTTTGAAAGAGAGATCTGGTCCCTCCCTGCCTCTCAGAGATTGTGCCAATCAAATGAGACCTTTAAAGTGATGGCAGAAGTGATTTTTGAACAAAATGTTGAGCTGCTGCTGTCTGGGAGACATGCACCCCGTTTCTCCCTCCGTGCACCTTGCATGATTATGTTGCAGGGAAGAGTTGGTTTTTTAAATTCTCCATTCTTCACATCGACATTTTGTCAAGCAAAACAACATATGATTGTGTTGTATGGTATTGATTGCCATCAGAATGGAGAGAGGAAAGGTAGAGTTGGAGGTGACTGGTGCTGGGATTATGGGAGAATGCAGTGTTTTTTAGGGAAAATAGAGTGTTGTGTTTTCTAGTTCCCAAAGTGTTTTACTCCTGACAAACACAGAATTTCTTCACCAGTCTTTCAGTGCTCAATGAGAAACCGTATCTCAGATAATTGAGTTTTTTGCTCTGATCTAATCACCAGAGCCTAGCTGTCTGTCGGTTGTTGGGACCAATGTGATTGTAGACAGTTTGGGCTTATTAAAATTGTTACTCCTTTGAAATAACTTATTGCGGTAGTACTTCCCTTGGGCACAATGCTCTAGACACTGCCCAGAGGTACACTTGTTTAGCTCAGAAGACGTGTTCATGGAAGTCTTGGAATTGCTGAAGTCTGATGTGGATTTGCTTAAAAGCGGGCAGATTCTAGTTTTGCCTCATGCGTGATTCAGAGTGGTGTTTCGTGGATACAGATTGGCGGTGGATGTCAGCCGCACAAAGGTGAAATGCAGGGGAGGCTGGGTGGCATCGCGAAGTCCAGGGTTCTCAGGTTTTGCTAATGGCTCTAAGGAAGGAAGAGAAAGAAATCCTTGTTGCTAATGGAGGGAACAGTCAGTTCTTACCACCTTGGGCTGTCTGGTGATGAGCATGACCTGTGTACTCGGGTCTGTGTTCCTACGGATAAAAAAGCAGTTCTGAAATCCATGGACTGCTGGTTCAGGCTGCACCATCTAACCCTAGTCTTGTATGTTAACTCGCGATGAGTCATAGACTGTGACATGCATACACTTATTTGGACTAAAAACCTGTTTAATATTATACTGTCATTTCAATGTACAGTGTATCTGTTCAATTTGTTATAAAGAGGGCTTTGAGAAACGTTACGGAGGCTCAGAGAGTTCTAGGCAAGCATTTGGTATCGCCTGCTTCACCATAATGATGTTCAGTTTTTCTCTCCTGTCACTTTTCCCCCAGTGGAACCACTTCTAAGTGGAAAACAGTGAATTACACATTCCCGCCCCCCCCCTCTTTTTTTTAGTCTTTAGTGGACATCTTTTCTGTGTTACCGTTTGATACCAGCAAGTGAAAGGATTTTGACTGCTCCCAATGGAGAGGGTGACCAAAGGCGAGCCGGGTTTCCTGGGCCAGAGAACGGAGTCTGTCAAACCAAAGAATAGCTGCAGAGTCACACACTGGGACCTTGAAGCTGTGACTAACATTTTGGCAACATGCATCTTTTGCCAAGTAGCTTCTTTTATTCTTGAGTGTGCTTGTTAATCTCTTGCTCAGAGTAGGCCCTTGTTGCTACTGTTCTGCACAGGGCCCCTGAGCAGAAGTTGGCCGAAGTTCTGGTTGACTGTCTCTTGAGGGCTGTGTCCCGGATTAGAGTAGATGGGCACTCTCTTGTCAAAATGAGGATCATTGGCAGATCTGGGGACCGGCTCTGCAAGGTAACAGAGGCAGTACTCTTTGCTGAGTGTTCCTGCAACCCTCTATGGGTCTTCTAAATTCAAGTCTGTTTCTCATCCATCTGTTGATTTTGATGCAGAATCATTCTTTGCCCAGTTTGAATGCCCTGGGTATTGAGGAAGACTTAGAATTGCCAACAGCTCCACCATCCCCAACCCCCTCCACGCTCACTCTCAAGCCTTTGAGCCCAGGGAGCCATTGGCTATGCTTGTGAGGACTTCTTAATAGGTTCTATAACAAAAACAGCAACAACTAAAACCTACTGGCATCAAGTTGATTGTGACTCTCAGCCACCCTATAGGACAGAGTAGAACTACCCAGTAGGATTTCCAGGGCTATAATCTTTACAGAGGAGCTCTGGTGGTATAGTGGTTATGGATTGGACTGAGCCACAAAGGTGAGCAGTTTGGAACCACCGCTGTTCCTCGGGAGAAAGATGAGGCTTGGACAGCCGTAGATTTCTCCCGCAGAGTGGCTGGTGGGTTTGAACTGCTGACCTTTCAGTTAACCAAGCACTAAACCACGGAGCAGAGTTCCTTATAGGATCTGTAGAGGGATACTTAACAAAAAGTCTTATGGAGGTAAACAATGGTAGGAGGGAACAAAAGGTGATAGCTCGTTAATGCCTGGACCAGCCTTGGGTGGGGTGGGAGGTGGGGTGGGGTGGGAGGTGGTAGAATTCTGTCCTTCCACATGGGAGAGCTGAGTGCATTCCAGGCCACTGTAACTCACTTGCCTGCTGACAGAAACTGGTGTGTTGCTGTGATGCTGAAGGGGTTTCAACCGAGCTCCCGCACTAAGACAGACTAGGAAGAAATTCTACTTCTGCAAATCTGTCAGTGAAAACCCTGTGTGTGGATCAGTGTGTGGAATCACGATGACTTGATGGAAGGAACAACGTGTCAGCCGTCGATCGCTTAAGATTTTGACAGTGTTCACATGAGCGAATGAGCTGTCAAATAGAAAGCCAGGAACTGGCTCCCCACTTGCCTATTTAGGCGTGGCAAAGTTGTACTTTAGACTGGCTATCAACTGTGTGTTTTACTTAGCTGAAGATAACTGTATTTGAGGTTGGTTTTAAGGATGATTTCCTGCAGTTTTTGTTAGTAGCTCTCTTAATCGTGGAGATACCCCCAGGACAAAGCCTTTTTTTTGATGGCTCTGGATTCAGCTTTTTTTGTTTGCCATCATTTGTCTCAGTTCTTTTTCTGACATGCAGGTTTGGTCCAGCAGGTTCAGATGTCTAAGGTCATGACTCTGGTCCAAGGCTTTGGTTGTGGCATCCTCTCCTTTCAGAAGCATCCTGATGTGCTTCTTCCAAGACAGGTTTGTCTTTTTCTGGCAGTCCACATTATTGGTCACCAACACCGTGACTCAAATGCCTCAGTTCTTCTGTCGCCTTCCCTTTTTTTTCGTAGCCTTATTTAGTGTCCAGCTCTCACAGGCATGTGACACAACTGACATCCCATGGCTTGGTTCAGGTGCAGCTGAGTCTTCAACACCTTTGTTCTTCATTTTAACGAGGTCTTGTGCAGTAGGGTTTCCCAGTGCATTACGTCGCAGGATCTCCTGACTGCTGCTTTATGAGCATTGACTGTGTAAGTGAGGTCGTTGACAACGTCTGTCTTTTCTTCATTTATCATGATGTTACCCTGTTGGTCCAGTTGTGAGGATTTGGGGTGTTTTTATTTGTTTTTACAGTGAATTGTAGTCCACACTGAGGGCTACAATCCTTGATCTTCACAACTGATGAAGATCTGAGTAGGAGCTAAACTATTTTCATCACTGTCTTAGAAATAAAGTCAGGGATGCTTTTAGCAAATTTTATTTTTGAGTAGATAATAGATAAGGGTTAAAATTCAAAAGGTGAAAAATGGAATGACTAGTCTACCCTTTACCCAGTCATCTTCCCAAGGGCATCTGGTAGTTTAAGATTCTTAAGATTCTTTCCACAGGCACCATGTACATAGAAAGCAAGTACATATACTTATTACTTTTTAAAATCAAATAAGTGTAGCACACTGTTCATACTATCTTAATGTAATCCCTATTAATGATAATGAGATTAGGCATTGTATTTACCTGCCCAATATCGATTAATAAACGGCTTCCAGTCTTCTACTGCAAACTATGCTCCAGTGAATAACCATGTATATTTTACCCTTGGCATATGTTAGATTTATAGGATAAATTCTTAAAGTTGCTTAAGCGAATGGCTTTTTGACCCTGTTACTCTCTTAGTCAACTGGAATTTTTGAGCTCCTATTATGTGTCAAGCATAGGGCTATGTGCTGGAGATCCAGCAGTGAACAAAAACTGACTCAGTCCTTGCTTTCATGGAAATTATACTCCAGTGGGAAAAGCTATTAAGCAAGTAATTAATTACCATTGCTTATAAATGCTGTGGGGACAGCTAATGGGAAGCCTGACTCAGGTTAGTGGGATGGAGTAAAGTCAGGGAAGGTCCCTGAGGAAGTAAGTCACTTTTAAGGCTGGAAGCTACAGGGTGAGTGGGAGCAGAAAAGAATATTCTAGGCGGAAGGAATGGCTTGGATGAAGGCACTGAGATGTGGGGGAATGAAAAAACCTGGGCACTTTGAGGACTGAAAGAAATTCCATTTGTGGTTGGAGCTTGTG